TTGATTTACTGCTTCGCATATTTTACTTTCAGAAAGCAAAGAAACATGTCTGGACGCTGTGGACAACCGTATAAATGACCTCGAGAAGGAAGTCGGTAACTGGTCATTTCTTAAATAGCATTATGTTATATGCGTTCATACTGTCCAGGGGGCACGGGTGGCACAGTTGTCTAAGGCACCGCGATTCGCTGTGCATATTTGCATCCCTTGGGCACGCCAGAAACCTATGATTTTGGGTTCGAATCCCGGTTCGCCCCGATCATGTTTCAAGGTTTGTCAGCACCATACCTGTGCTTGTGGGTTTCACCGAAGTGGTAAAAGTCTGAGACCTGCATCACTTTGGGCTTTCCTCCCACATTAAGCTGACACGCCGTGATATAACTGGAATACTGTTGAAAGCGGCGTTAAACCCAACTCACTCACTCACTCACTCAGACTGTCCTGAAGTCGTCACAGGGGTGTAGTAGATAGAGCGTAAATTCGATGGTTCAGTCCCCTGGCCATTTCGGAACAAAGCAGGTTCAACTGTGACTAGGCGTGTCAGTGGGCTAGACTTAAGAACGACTACGTCCGCACTGGTTCATGCAAGTTGACATAATCGTAATACCATTTCACTTCCCCTCGCCTCGTTTCTTACAGAAGGTATAGTGAAATGTTTTTTTCAGTTACCGTTGGATATATACTGACGGACAAAAGTACCTATGCTTTATATAAAGCGGTGTAATCAATATGTTTAAACCTAATATTTGGTGTCGCATTCATTATAGTAAAGAGGTTTTAGAATGTCCATAAAACCGTCTCCTTTGTTAATGTTTGGTTATTCGCCTGATCATTCTGTTATCTTAAAGGGCAAGTTCACACGGAAATGAACCTATTTTTCTTGTACTTTTTCCACATTACAAGTGTTAACCTAGTAGTGTCATAGACAAAAATATAAAAATATCACAATTAATTAACATGTGTTTGCATTTAAACGATTTATATTTTTCACATTTACCAAGAGTTCTATTTTCATAACAATAACACCATTGCTTATGCCCCTTGCAATATGACGTCATTGGTGCCAATTGATAAACATTATGACGTCATCATTCGCCTGATCATTCTGTTATCCTAAGACATTCATTGCCAACATCCATACCCAAATCACAATGTCATTATGACCCCTAAGATACAGGCAAGGCAGTGGCGGTGCATTGAAGACACCAGATGATGATTGGAAACAGCCTTGGGAATCTTGTTCCAGATATCAAATAAGATTGAGCTATATCTATTACACCACTCCACAAGAAGCATAATTACTTTTGTCTGTCGGTATATATCTAACGGGAATTGAAAATAAGGGACTGAAATTTCCGCTCTATCTACTGCACCACTGTGACGACTTCAGGACACTATGAGTGAGTGAGTTGGGTTTAACGCCACTTTTAACAGTAGTCCACACCAGATGATGATTGGAAACAGCCTTGGGAATGTTGTTCCAGATAACAAATAAGATTGGCACAACTGAGCTAGCGTTACCTGCTGGTTCTGGTCCTGTCGTATGCATCGTTTCATCTCATCTCAGACTTGTTCTATGTAGAAGAGGTCATGAGAAACAACCGGCCACGGCAGTACAGCAACGTTATGCTGCCTCACAAAGTCTGTTACAACACAAGCAACGTGTAACCGGACGTTATCCTGCTGCAACGTTACGTCCCTGCATTTGCACAAAGCTAGTACATGATCTCGAACGGTTTCGGTTCGTCGGTAGCGTACGCCATTCAAATTGCAGTTTACATTACGAATATATAACGGTATATATAGGTCGGCCAGCCACGGGAATAACACGCCGTATAACATACGCTCCATCCAATCACTATATAACAACCACCAGATATATACCAGCGTGTATTCGACAACTTACCCGTATTCTTAGAGCTGGGTGTTCCGGGTAGTCTACCCAGTCACACAATTACAGACATCTGTGGGTGTCCGGGTGTCTGGTCTGGGTACAGCTGACGTCGCCCTTCTGTGTTTATTTAAGTATGATAGGACACTCAGTGGTGCAATCATGTGTGGTAACTATTTATACTTGGTTAGGGCAGTTGCGTGTTTATTTATAGCCCTGAATGAGATTTCAGATCCTTTTGTTGACGGCAAATATCCAGTTGGGAGCCACGTGGAGCGGGCATTTACTATGACCGAGACACAATGTGATGATTCAGCTTTATGTTGTAATGTGATGTTTCTGTCGTTTTAGGATTGGTTATAGATTTACGAAGAAGAGGAACCTGAATAGCGCTCCCTTGTTTGCACAGGCATTGTGTGGGTCTGTTGTTGTATCTTAGCAACCATCAACAAAGAGATCAAGGGAAGCTACTCTGGTTTTCATCTCTTGTCCCTTGAAGACAGGACCGCCGTGGTCTAGTGGTAGAGTGTCTGCCAGAAGGCGGAGGGTCCGGGGTTCGATCCCCGGCCGCGTCATATGAAAAGACGTTGAGACATGGTATTTGTTATTACCTTGTCTGTTGCTCGGCATTAAGAGGCTAAAACAAGGACTGGTCGGCTCGTAGTCACAATACTGTATCTGAGTGGGGTATCCATGTAAAACCGCGGCATGGTATCTCAGTGGGCTAGCACTATAAAATCGGCATTGGTCCGGACTAGTACAATCAGCCACAGACACTGACACAGACACAGACACAGACACAGACACACACACAGACACAGACACAGACACACACACACACACACACACACACACACACACACACACACACACGCTACTGCTAGTATATAAGTGGAATTATCTTGGACGCGCCGTTAAATCCCGTGTCACCTCCCCGCACCTCTTGAAGACAGAACTCTACCGGTCATAGTTCGGCCATGCAGAAGTAATCGGACAAACTAGTGGTCGATAGCATGAGCAGCAAACCATATTGAAGGTCGGAAGCGAGGATCAGGTGGCATTTCCTTCCATTTCCGCAGTTTTAGAAATCACACTTTTAGATAATTCCGCAAGAAAGGGAATGAAAATAATAAAAAATAAGTGGGTAAGCAGTTTATTATTTAGAAAAATGAATAAAATAATCATAAGTTTTACAAAACGCAGCAAATTATATTCACGTGTCTTGATTAACATCGAGAAACAAATTACAATAAAAGCTACGACTAATCACGGATAAGCTCAACCTTGTGACCCCAACGGAAGGTCGGGGTTCGATCCAAAAGACGTCAAAAGAAAGTACTTCTTGTAACCCTTTTAACAATATTCCAGCAACATCACGCGGGGGACACCATAAATGGGCTTCACACGTTGTACCCATGTCGGGAAGCGAGCCCGGACCTAGGTGTGACGAGGGAGCGCTTTAACCACTAGGCACCGTCCCCGACATTGATAGGTATACAATGTATGAGAACAAGGTCCAACAACGATATAACATAGGATACTACTGTCTCTGAAATATGAAAAAAAAATAAGAAAAAAATGCCGAACAATACAATACTGCACATCCCATCGTAAAATGAAGCAATAAGTTTAGGCACATGTGACATTGGATCGACTTTAGACTAAAGCAAGATAAAATATTAAAACATATGTTATACAATCTTCTTTAAAGGTAACATATTTTTGTAATATAATTCTGGTATATTATTTGCATTAACAAAATATGGTAAAAATATTTGTAACCACAATTTTAGCTTGACACCCGGTAAATAAAATATCCGATAAAGGACAACAACAGTCGGGCAAGTCTTGAATTCTTAACAAATTCTCCGTGTGCATTTTCAATTACACACTTCACAAAACAAATCTAATACTTTGTTTTCCGTCATTTCAGATGCTAAGCGTATTAGCGGTAGTTGTTAATGCACTGATTTGAGCGTCAGACGTGAAAGTACCGTTAGAAAATAAACAAAACAAGTAAGGATCATATGAATATTGTTGAGGGGATGTTTTTTTAGACTTCATTACAAAAGAATACCCCCCCAAAAAGTCATGATCGCTCACTTATTTTGTTAAGAATAGCATAGTACTGTGCCTGTTCTCCTATGGAGACACGTGTATCTTACAAGGTTCGTGGGGCGGTCGGGTAGTCGAGTTCGCTCGTCAGGCCGAACACATCGGTTTCGATTCCCCACATGGGTACAATGTGTGAAGCCCATTTCTGGTGACCCCGCAATGATATTGCCGGAGTATTGCTAAAAGCGGCGTAAAATCAAACTCACTCACTAACCCACTACAAGGGTCGACCCGTGAAGATCCGGGGTAGAATAGGCCTTCAGCAGCAACTGCTTGCCGTAAAAGGCGACTGCTTTTCGTAAGAGGCGACTAACTGGATCGGGCGGTCAAGCTCGCTGACTTGGTTGATGCATGTGATCGATCCCAATTGCATGGATCGATGCTCACGACATCATCCACTGGATTGTCTGGTTTAGACTCTATTATTTACAGATCGCCGTCATATAGCTGGAATATTGCTGAATGCGGCGTTAAAAAACAAACAAACAATCCACAAGGTTCGTTTCTATGACAACGAATACGATCCTTTCTGTTTCGTGCGTATTTCAGGTATAATGACAGTCCATGTGTTAACATGATTAGCTCTGTAACAACTCAGGGCGACATACACAGCAGTGCTATTCTCAGTATGGTACAGAGCGATTACGATCCTTCCTGTTTCGTGTGTATTTCAGGTATAATGACAGTCCATGTGTTAACATGATTAGCTCTGTAACAACTCAGGGCGACATACACAGCAGTGATATTCTCAGTATGGTACAGAGAGATTATTGCATGGTATTCTGATTTAAGAAATTAGTGTCAAAATTCCTTGGCGAGGTTAAGGTAAATATACTGAACAAAAGTTTTTGGGGATCATGAACATTTTGGGGGATATTTTTATGAGAGTGTGTGCTCAGTCTTTGCTCCAAACAATGTCCCCCAAATAGTCATGATCCCTAACTTTGTTTGTTCAGTATATATGAACTCTGACACGTGTTTTTTGACACAGATAAGTATAATCATCTCCTCTTGGTCCATTATTAATTAGCAACTATACATCATGTCCGTTGTTTATCCTAATTATTATTTATGTGGGGAAATGGGAACATTTAGAGATCATATTTGAAGGAAACTAAATACTGTTGGAGCGTGACCTTAAGCATAGTGTGGAGGTCATATAAATCAGGCAAAGTTAGCAAAGCTGGCGGCGGAGAGTCGGTGGATGGATGGCCACACTCGAAAAGTAGACTCCTGTGAGCTCAGGGACTTAGAATACTCCGAAACACAGGTGTGTTCTTGTCTTCGTTTACCCAGCGGCGAATGGGTACCCGGTAGGATGAGAATAGTGAACTAAGCTGGGCGTTTATATTCCCAATGCAACTTACATCCACACTGGATAGCAATTTCACATTATTAACAGATTTCCAATTATTGTAATTTGTAATTTTCTGTTTTTGTATTTGAGATTGGTAAAGAAGTCCCCAATATGTGGTATTTGTCACCATTCCTCAGCGTTATACAAGAGGGATATTTTCAACAAAAGGGATATTCTCAACAGAAGGGATATTCTCAACTGAAGGGATATTCTCAACAAAAGGGATATTCTCAACAGAAGGGATATCCAAATTTGGGTGCCAATTAGACAATTATTCATCAACATTGATATGGACCCACATGCACAAAGCAATCTTAGCGATAACTCCAACACTTTAACACATGCTTACCACAGGTTTTGTACAAGTGGGTCATGATCGTTTGACTATACGTTAAACCTCGATAGTACAGACACCTTGGTAATCTGGACAGAGAGGTAACCACGTAAACAAAGTAACATATCAAGACTACGACCCGCATCAAACCAACGGAAGTCATTGTTACCAAGGCAACACAATGTTTAACCTAATGTACAGTGTTACCATAACAGCTATTTACTAATATGTAAATCGGTAATCGTTTGTGGTTGCGGCATTGGCTACGTAACCGTCATCGTTGCTGAAGTCGTATTTTGCCGAAACAGTCACTAAGTTCACTGTAACAGTCTGTAGATGAAGTTTCTGCAATACTGTTTCTGGGTGTTGCTGAAGTCGTAATTAGCTGAAATATCACCAAGCTCTCTGTAACAATATGTTGATGACGTTCCTGTAACGTTGTTTCCATGTGTTGCTGAAGTCGTAATTAGCTGAAATATCACCAAACTCTCTGTAACAATATGTTGATGACGTTCCTGTAACGTTGTTTCCATGTGTTGCTGAAGTCGTAATCAGCTGAAATATCACCAAGCTCTCTGTAACAATATGTTGATGACGTTCCTGTAACGTTGTTTCCATGTGTTGCTGAAGTCGTAATCAGCTGAAATATCACCAAGCTCTCTGTAACAATATGTTGATGACGTTCCTGCAACGTTGTTTCCATGTGTTGCTGAAGTCGTAATCAGCTGAAGAAAGACACTGAGGTGAAATGCGACGTTGCTTCAAAGTTGATAAGAACGTTGTGCCTGCTTTTACGTTACATGTAACAGCCTGTTGATGAAGTTCCTGCAATGTTGTCTCTGGGTGTTGCTGAAGTCGCTGTAGATACTCAGAATCCTTTCATCGCTTTTCAGCTGAGTCAACTCCTGCTGTCTGTGGATGGAGCCAAGGTCCTGATTGAAAAGACGGCTGTCCAAATTCACTGACCCCTGGTCACCACAGTAGATCACCGTCACGTCGGCTGAAACAGGAACGTGTGTTACTGCCACTCCCTCTAACATGGGGGGGGGGGGGGGGGGTAGTTTCATGGATAAAGCGTTCGCCTGTCACGCCTTAGGCCGGAGTTCGATTTCCCACATACATACAGTGTGCGAAGTCCATGTCTGGTGTCACCCGCCGTGGCATTGCTGAAATATTGCTTAAGCGGCGGAAAACTGAAGTTCCTCACACAACTCTGCTTAGCTCAAAGGAAAACTGTTCTGAAACAACTTCCCGTCACCACACCATTCACTGTCTACCCCAGACTCAATTTCTCAGCTTACCTCCTGACACAACTTCACAGCTTACCCCTGACACAACTTCACAGCTTACCCCTGACACAACTTCACAGCTTACCCCCTGACACAACTTCACAGCTTACCCCCTGACACAACTTCACAGCTAACCTCCTGACACAACTTCACAGCTTACCCCCTGATACAACTTCACAGCTTACCCCCTGATACAACTTCACAGCTTACCCCCTGCCACAACTTCACAGCTTACCCCTGACACAACTTCACAGCTTACCCCCTGACACAACTTCACAGCTTACCTCCTGACACAACTTCACAGCTTACCCCCTGACACAACTTCACAGCTTACCCCCTGACACAACTTCACAGCTTACCTCCTGACACAACTTCACAGCTTACCCCCTGATACAACCTCACAGCCTACCCCCTGACACAACTTCACAGCTTACCCCCTGATAAAACTTCACAGCTAACCCCCTGATACAACTTCACAGCTTACCCCCTGATACAACCTCACAGCCTACCCCCTGACACAACTTCACAGCCTACCCCCTGACACAACTTCACAGCTTACCCCCTGATACAACTTCACAGCTTACCTCCTGACACAACATTTTTGCTCACCCCTGATACAACCTCACAGCCTACCCCCTGACACAACTTCACAGCTTACCCCCTGACACAATTTCACAGCTTACCTCCTGACACAACATTTTTGCTCACCCCTGACACAAGTTCACAGCTTCCCCCTCACACAACTTGACCCCTCGCCCCCCGTCACAACTTCACAGCTTACCTCCCGACACAAATCCACAGCTTACCCCGTGACACAACTTCACAGCTTCCCCCTTACACAACTTCACAGCTTATCCCCTGACACAACTTCACAGCTCACCCTCTGACACAACTTAACAGCTTACCTCGACACAACTTCACAGCTTACCCTCTGACACAACTGCACAGCTAAACCCCTGACACATCTTCACAGCTTACCCCTGACACAACTTCACAGCTTACTCCCTGACACAACTTAACAGCTTACTCCCTGACACAACTTCACAGCTTACCCCCTGACAAAACTTCACAGCTCACCCCCTGACACAACTTTACAGCTTATCCCTGACACAACTTCACAGCTTCCTCCTGACACAACTTCACAGCTTACCTCCTGACACAACTTCACAGCTTACCTCCTGACACAACTTCACAGCTTATTTCCTGACACAACTTCACAGCTTCACCCTGACACAACTTCACAGCTTACCTCCAAACCTCCAGAGACTCCGCACAGTGGTCACCCTGAGATCGCCCAGCCCCTTGGTCGGATCCTCCAAGATGACGTTCCGCTCGTTGAAGTCGACAAAGACGAGGAAGACACGCGACCCCGGCAGCTGTGTAATGTCTGTGTGGCGTCTGATGACCCGAGAGTGGATGGTGGGACATGGTTGCTTCACAGACTCGAACACAGACCTGGTCTGGTCAGCATGTCTCCCCTCTGTCTCGGTATGGAAGGCCACCACACACACCGAGTCCTCCATCGGCCGGCTCCACTGCAGCTCGTACAGCTCCTCACGACGGGAGCCCCTCTGCTGAGAAAAAGACACATTGACAACTCCTCGACAACACCAACCAATCGGGAGCACAGCCATTTACTGTGCAGAGTTGCGTCCCTTGGGTACGAGAGAATCCCGGTTCACCCCGATCATGTTTCTAGTGAATGCAGACTCAAGTTTGGTGAGGTATGGATGTTCCTGTAGACGGTGCACCAAGGCGACTTTCCTGGAAGTCAAGTATATCGGGTTGCGTCCCTTGGGCATGCCAGAAACCTATGATTATGGGTTCAAATCCCGGTTCGACCCAATTATGTTTCTAGGTTTGTCAGCACCATACCTGTGCTCGTGGGTTCCACTGAAGTGGTAAACGTCTGAGACCTGTATCACTTCGGGCTTTCCTCCCACATTAAGCTGACACGCGGTGATATAACTGGAATACTGTTTAAAGCGGTGGTAAACCCAACTAATTCAACAACCAATCACCGACTTTCTGGTTAACTGATACGGGTCATAGTACGTCCTGTTTGTGTGGTGTGTTCCTCTTTTGAGAAACACCCCAGTAGTAGTAATAGTATAGGTAATTGTAGTTGTAGTAGTAGTAGTAGTAGTAGTAGTAGTAGTAGTAGTAGTAGTAGTAGTAGTAGTAGTAGTAGTAGTAGTTGTTGTTGTTGTAATGATGTTAGTGGCAGCAGTGGTGATAGTAGTTGTAGTAGTAGTAGTTGTTATAGTAGTAGTAGTAGTTGTAGTTGTAGTAGTAGTAGTTGTAGTAGTTGTAGTAGTAGTAGGAGTAGTAGAAGTAGTTGTAACAGCAGTAGTAGTAGAAGTAATTTTATTATTATCATTCGTAGTAGTGGTGACAGTAGTAGCAGTAGTAATAGTATTAGCAGCAGTAGTAGTAGCAGTAGTAGGAGTAGTAGTAATAGTAGATGTAGCACCTGTACATTGTTGCGGGAGGCTGCTGCTGTTGATGCTGGTGCTGTTGACGATGCTGTTGCTGATGACTGAGTCTGCCTCACATACATCACTACAAAGACGACGGCAATTATGTTCAGCAGAGTTAGAAGGAAGGCGAAATCTGAAATACAAAGACATACTCTGATAAATATTCACATGAATACTGATTCTATCATGCAGTTGGAAACTACTCGTTTCTGATTGATCAATCACAATAAACCCCCTCTGATTGAAACAGCTGGTAAGACGGCCGCATCACCGCGGAAAACTAATTTTCATAGAATAGTACTTTTTCAGTCATTGTTGGTAAGCATATTGAAATAATGATATCTCCAATTGCAGGTTACAGAATGCAAAGTTGCTGTTACTACAATATTCAAAGGATGTGTGACAATTTTCGGCAGGAAAACACGAAAGAAATCTTCAAAGAGAATGTATTCTAAGTTTTGGCGACAAAAGCGAGCTTGGAATTTGTCGCTTCTCGGGATACGACGGTGACGTCATATCTCTTGCGTCACAATGAGCGATATGACATCATAATGTTGACGTGTGGTGTTGAGCGAAAGCTGCGCTAAAATTTAATATTTGAAACCTCACGCTGCGCCTTCGGTTCCAAATTCAATCTAGCGCGGTTAAATCTGCAGGTAACCTATCTCTACATTGAAAGCACACAATATTTATCTCCTCATTTTAGTATAAACGTAAGACACACAAATAATATCCATCTAGATTTGAATTTGCTAGTTTCAAAATTTACATAATTCTTGAACACAGGATATCAAAGGGCATTGTATATAAATGAGGGATTGAATACATTTGCCTTTACTGCTAAGTCATGTCTACACCTGCCTACATTGCTGAATGCTGTCTACACTTGCCTACATTGCTGAATGCTGTCTACACTTGCCTACATTGCTTAATCTTGTCTACACCTACCTACATTGCTGAATGCTGTTTACACTTGCTTACATTGCTAAATCTTGTCTACACCTGCCTACATTGCTAAATCTTGTCTACACCTGCCTACATTGCTAAATCTTGTCTACACCTGCCTACATTGCTAAATCTTGTCTACACTTGCTTACATTGCTAAATCTTGTCTACACCTGCCTACATTGCTAAATCATGTCAGCACTTGCCTACATTGCTTAATCTTGTCTACACCTGCCCACATTGCTGAATGCTGTCTACACTTGCCTACATTGCTAAATCATGTCAGCACTTGCCTACATTGCTATATCTTGTCTACACCTGCCCACATTGCTGAATGCTGTCTACACTTGCCAACATTGCTAAATCATGTCAGCACTAGCCTACATTGCTTCATCTTGTCTACACCTGCCTAAATTGCTACATCCTGTCAACACTTGCCTGCATTGCTAAATCCCGTCAACACTTGCCTACATTGCCAAATATTGTCTTCTGTTGCCTACATTGTTAAATCATGTGTACACTAGCCTACATTGCCAAATCTTGCCTACATTGTGAAATCTTGTCTACTTTTGCCTACATTGCCAAATCGGTAACACCTGCCTACATTGATAAATCCTGTCTACACCCTCCTGCATTGCTAAATCATGTGTACACCTGCTTACACTGCTAAATTGTGTCTCAAGTTGCCTACATTGATAAATCATGTCTACACTTGACTACATTGCTAAATCTTGTCCACACTTGCCTATATTGCAATAGCATGTCTACACTTGCCTACATTGCTAAAACTTGTCTACATTTGCCTCCATTGCTATATCTTGTCCACACTTGCCTACATTGCTAAATCTTGTCTACATTTGCCTACATTGATAAATCATGTCTACACTTGCCTACATTGCTAAATCTTGTCTACATTTGCCTACATTGCTAAATCTTGTCCACACTTGCCTACATTGCCATAAATTGTCTGCACTTGCCTACATTGCTAAAACTTGTCCACACTTGCCTACATTGCTAAAACCTGTCTGCACCTGCCTACATTGCTAAAACTTGTCTACATTTTCCTACATTGCTATATCTTGTCTACACTTGCCTACATTGCTAAAACTTGTCTACATTTTCCTACATTGCTATATCTTGTCTACACTTGCCTACATTGCTAAAACTTGTCTACATTTGCCTACATTGCTAAAACTTGTCTACATTTGCCTACATTGCTATATCTTGTCTACACTTGCCTACATTGCTATATCTTGTCTACACTTGCCTACATTGCTAAAACTTGTCTACATTTGCCTACATTGCTATATCTTGTCTACACTTGCCTACATTGCTAAAACTTGTCTACATTTGCCTACATTGCTATATCTTGTCTACACTTGCCTACATTGCTAAAACTTGTCTACATTTGCCTACATTGCAATTTCTTGTCTACACTTGCCTACATTGCTAAATCTTGTCTACATTTGCCTCCATTGCTATATCTTGCCTACACTTGCCTACATTGCTAAAACTTGTCTACACTTGCCTCAATTGCTAAAACTTGTCTACATTTGCCTCAATTGCTAAATCTTGCCTACATTGCTAAAACATGTCCACACTGGCCTACATTGCTATATCTTGTCTACACTTGCCTACAATGCTATATCTTGGCTATGCTGCTAAATCTTGTCTACATTTGCCTACACTGCTAAATCGTGTCTACACCTGCCTACATTGCTAAATCATGTCAACACCAGCCTACACTGCTAAATCATGTCAACACCAGCCTACACTGCTAAATAGTGTCTACACCAGCCTACACTGCTAAATAGTGTCTACACCAGCCTACACTGCTAAATCATGTCAACACCAGCCTACACTGCTAAATCATGTCAACACCTGCCTACATTGCTAAATCGTGTCAACACCAGCCTACATTGCTAAATCATGTCTACACCAGCCTACATTGCTATATCTTGTCTACACTTGCCTACATTGCTATATCTTGGCTATGCTGCTAAATCTTGTCTACATTTACCTACACTGCTAAATCGTGTCTACACCTGCCTACATTGCTAAATCATGTCAACACCAGCCTACACTGCTAAATCTTGTCTACACCAGCCTACATTGCTATATCTTGTCTACACTTGCCTACATTGCTATATCTTGGCTATGCTGCTAAATCTTGTCTACATTTGCCTCCATTGCTATATCTTGTCTACACCTGCCTACATTGCTAAAACTTGTCCACACTTGCCTACATTGCTATATCTTGTCTACATTTGCCTACACTGCTAAATAGTGTCTACACCTGTCTACATTGCTAAATCATGTCAACACCAGCCTACACTGCTAAATCATGTCAACACCAGCCTACACTGCTAAATAGTGTCTACACCAGCCTACACTGCTAAATAGTGTCTACACCAGCCTACACTGCTAAATCATGTCAACACCAGCCTACACTGCTAAATCATGTCAACACCAGCCTACACTGCTAAATAGTGTCTACACCTCTCTACATTGCTAAATCATGTCAACACCAGCCTACACTGCTAAATAGTGTCTACACCAGCCTACACTGCTAAATCATGTCAACACCAGCCTACATTGCTAAATCATGTCAACACCAGCCTACACTGCTAAATAGTGTCTACACCTCTCTACATTGCTAAATCATGTCAACACCAGCCTACACTGCTAAATAGTGTCTACACCAGCCTACACTGCTAAATAGTGTCTACACCTGCCTACATTGCTAAATCATGTCAACACCAGCCTACACTGCTAAATAGTGTCTACACCAGCCTACACTGCTAAATAGTGTCTACACCAGCCTACACTGCTAAATAGTGTCTACACCTGCCTACATTGCTAAATCATGTCAACACCAGTCTACACTGCTAAATCATGTCAACACCAGCCTACATTGCTAAATCATGTCAACACCAGCCTACACTGCTCTAGTGTCTACACCTGTCTACATTGCTAAATCGTGTCAACACCAGCCTACATTGCTAAATCATGTCAACACCAGCCTACACTGCCAAATAGCGTCTACACCAGCCTACACTGCTAAATAGTGTCTACACCAGCCTACACTGCTTAATAGTGTCTGCACCTGCCTACACTGCAAACACGAAAACGTCGTTTTTTCCCGTATATGGTCATTGGACGGAAAAACGACGTTATTTGGACGTTTTCAAACCATCGTTTTTCCGTCCAAATAACGTCGTTATTTGACATCGGAATTTACTGGGAGAGAACGATAGCGTTAAGCTCCTCCCTTTCTTGATTGACATTGTCAATCAAGCAACAGCGTCTACCGGTATTTCTACTTCTCGGTTTTCATTGGTCAGTCCCCGCGTGTTAGATTACAGGCCCGCGTTTGACGCAGCACTCGAAGCGCTTAGCGGAAGTATTGAAATCAATCTTTCTGCGCATGCGGATTACTTAATGCCTTGACCAAATTTTCCGTTCTGTGCATGCGCGATTTCGCGTATTGTTTCCTAGATTTAATGTCACCACTATTTGACAATGGTTCATAAACACAGTCACGTGAAGGTTCGGAATCGTAACGAGTAACTCCATTTAAATTGAAGAGTATCCCCAGTGATATTGGAGATTCCAAGATGAAACTATTCTATGGCTATCTAGGCTGCCACCCAAACCGATCTAAACGGGACCCGATAGCTTATTGTATGCTATATAGTCATATGGAAGTGGACAAGAACTATACATTGTATTCCGGCCGATCGTGTTCTTGCATTTACTTATAAGTCAGGAAAATGGACTTAAAAGGGGAGTTGTTGAATGTAATTATTTTAATTATTAAATGTTGCCTATACACTAATCTGGACGAACTTCTCATTGTTCTGTTTATGTCATCCTATATACTATTAGTATGTTACCGTTCTAAAGTCATCCTCTAACATAACATTATATTGTTCATAGTATCAAAGTTTAATCAACAATATCAAGAGCAGCGATTTAAACCACTGAAACACCCAAACACAAGGCTGTTATCAAGCGCTAGTGCAGACGTGATGCATCGTAAAAACTGTATCGTGATGTCTTCAGAAATACAATTATACTACGAGATAGTACGGCTAACGCTGACTCACCGGTGGAACAAAGACAATATCGCTAATACAGATATAACGTATTTGAATGTTAATACTAAAGACAAACAATCATTATTTT